GCCGCGCGCGTGCGCGCGCGCGCGCGCGGGGGTGTGCATTGTGTGTGTGTGCTGAGTTGAACTCGAGTGTCGGGCACTGTGTGTGTGTGCTGTTTCCCAGCTGTGAACCACCTGTGTGATGTGTGTGCCTAGATTACGTGTTGTGTTACTGAGTTGCTGCGTAGTGTGCGGCTCAGGTGAACTCGCCATCAACATATGTGCGGCTTGTAGTAGTGTGCGTGCGTGCGTGTTGCGCCTGGTGTGTTGTGTGTTGCAGTGCGTGTGTGTGTGCGTCCGACTTATCTGTGTTGTGTGTGTGTGTGTGTGTGGACGGCCTAGTGTGGCATCGTGTGCTGCCCCCGCGACGAGGCTCGCACAGGGCCCCGCCGCATGGCTGTGAGTGTGCGTGTGTGTGATGGGGCCGTGTCGGCTATGTGGCACTACAAACAATGCAAACAGATGTCGCCGATCCGCCCGAGTTGCGGGCGTGGTGTGCTGTGCGGGTGCTGTGTGTGTGTGTGTGTGTGTGTGTGTATGCGGTGTGCCGCAGCTGGTTGTGTGTGTGTGTGGCCCGTGTGGTGTGTGTGTGTTGTGCGCATTCTTCTGTGGTGAGGGTGTGTAGTGTGTGGTGTGTGGTGTGTGTGGGTGTGTGTGTGTGTAATGCGTGTGTGATGTATGTATGTGTGTGAGCTCGCACTTGTGTGGTGTGCGGGTGTGTGGAGCGTCATTTTTTCCGGTGGTGGGGGGTTCGTGTCTGTCGTATGTGGCGGGTCGCGCGAGTGTGTGTGTTTCGTGCTGCGGTGTGCATGTGTGTATGCGTGTGTGTGGTTTGTGTCGCTCGGGTCACTTATGTCGCCCTGTGTTGTGAGCGGGTCGCTGGTGGTGTGTGCGTGTGTCTGTGTGTGTCGTGGTGTGTGTGCTGGTGCTGTGTGAGTTTGTGTGTGTGTGTGGTGTATGCCTGGTGTGGTGTGTGTGCGCTGTGTTGTGTGTGTGTTGTGTGCGTGCGTGGACCTTTGTGTATGGTTGCGTGTGGTAACCTGTTGAGGAGGTGTATGCCTCGTGGTGTAATTTTTTTGTTGCGCGATTACGCCCGGTATGTTGTCAGTTGTTGTGCGTGTGTGTGGAGCGTGGGATAGGCTTGCGGCGCCCGCGCGCCCCGCCCCGCGTGGGCTGGCGCTGTCCGGTCGCCGTTTCGGCCCGTCTCCCCGGGGCCGGTGCGGCTGGCGGCCGGGCCTCCTGCCCCCCGCTGCCATGTCGTGTGTGCCGTTGCCGTCGTGTGTGTGCCTGTGCGTGCGTGCTGTGAGGGTGCGTGTGTGCCGGCGATTGGTCCCCGCGCGTTGCGTGACCCGTGCTGCGCTTGGGCTGGTGGCTGGACTTGACCTTGATGCCACAGGGTTTACACTACACTAGGCAACCCTCGATAAAAATGTATGAGATGCACCACCGGCTGCTGGCATGATTCGCCGTAGCATGTTTCTCCCCCTAGAACACAAATTTCCCTGCGTAGGCCCGATACCATGACAGGCGCTCATCCCCGCGCGTTATAACCCTTTCTTAATGTATTATTCCATGACCTGGAGGTCATCGCACCGAAACGCACCGGCTAAGCTAGGCACAGTTTGTAACACAATGCGGGTTGCTGCACGGCAGGCACGCCACAACGAGGGCCCCCCCCGGCGCGCCGCGGCGGAGCGGTACACGCAGCGTACATTCGCGGGGTACACGCACGTACACGCCAGATACACGGGCGCGGCTACCACGCGGCGGACGCATACCATCGGGCACGTTACACGCACCGTACCGCGGGCGCTACTTACGCCCGTACCACGCCACGATTATACCCGCGCAGATATCTGACGGCACGTACACAGTTACACGCAGATACAAGCACGGTTACACGGCAGGGTACACGGGCAGATACACGCGACGTACAACGCGGGGGGCTCCACGTAGCGCGTTATCACGGCACGTGCACCGCGGCGATACACGCACGTACACACGGCGTACACGGCAGATACACGCACGCATAACGCGGGTACACGCACCGATACACGCAGGTACACGCACGTACACGCAGATACAAGCACGTACACGCACGTTACACGTGGTACACGCAACGTACGTGCGTGTAAACGCTGTCGTACGTGCGTGCCTACCCGCGTGCAATCACGACCCCATGCAGCAGGTGCTACCGCGGTGTACGTGGGTGTATCTGCTTTGTACCTTGCGTGTTAGCCTGCCGTGTGGTGCGCCTGTACCGGTGAATCGGGCCGCTGGCTGTAACGTGGGATGTATCTCCGCCTGTATCTGGCCGTGTACGGTGAGCCGGCGGTGTGTACCTCGCGTGTACCTGCGTGTACCGCAGTGTTACGCTGCGTGTATCTCCGTTGTACCGACTACCGCGTGTACGTGCGTGTAGTTCCCCGTGTAACGTGTACGTGCGCTAATATCGATGTATCTGCGTGTACGTTGCGCCTGTGTCCTTGCTATCTGCTGTACCTCGCGTGCTTCCACGCTGTGCGGGTGGTGCCCCGCTAGGTAGCGTGCGTGTAATTCTCCGTGTACCCGCGCTGCTAGTCTCGTGTACGGTTGACGTGCCGCTGTACTGCGGGTGTGCGCTGCGCTGCTATCTGCGTGTACGTGCGCGTTACCCCGCGTTGGTACGTGGCTGGGTCTCTCGTGGCTCGTGCCGTGTACGTGCGTCGTAGGTGTACCCGCTGGTGTGTACCGGTGCGCGGTGTATTTCCCGCTTTTGTACGCGCGTCGGTCGTGCGTGTATCTGCGTGTTACGTGTGTGGCGGCAGGGGGCGCTGTAACTCTGCGAGCTCTGCCGTGTACGTGTGTGTATCCTGCGCAGTCTGCGTGTACTCGTGTGGCTAGTATCTCGCGATTCTGCGTTACGTGCGGTAACCCGCGTGTACGTGCGTTCGCTACCGCGTGTACGTGCGTGTTAAGCCTGCGGCACGTGCGGGTATCCTGCGCCCTGTACGGTGCGTGGTATCTCCGCTGTATCGCGTGTACGGTGCGGTGTACTGTATCTGCAGTGGTACGCTGCGTGGTACCCGCGTGTACGTGCGTGCGTATTCTCCGGTGTACCGCGGTGTCGGCTGCGTGTATCTGTGCGTGTCCCCCCTCTGTGCGTGCCTGCCTGAGCAGCATTGCTTCCTACAAACTGCCTATGCTTAGGCCTCGTTTCGTTGCGTCGGGTACGGGCGTGACCCCAGTGTCATGAATAATAATTAAGAAGGTCTATAAGCGGGCGTCCATATAGCATCCTATATGCGAAAAGGCAGGTCGCCAGAGTTGGACGTAGTCCATTTAAATCGCAGCCTTGACGTTCTCCTTCGGGCCTTCCTTGTTCCTTGGAGTTAAAAGAATATTCTTTAATGATGATTAGGACGCGCTGTAGGGGTTTAGAGGTTTATAAAATGATGATCTTTTTGGAGCCATAACCTAAAACAAATGATACGGCTTCAGCACACGTTCTCAATGAAGGGAAGATGGTAAGAGGGAGGCTTAAATCTGTATTTAAACCTCGGGTTAATTAGGTTTAAGCGTTTTTAGCTTAAAACGTTAAACTGGTATTGTACGTGTAAACTTGATGAAAAAGGCATGGATTTCCTGTTGGACGGGAAGTAGCGGGGCTGACTGTTCTGGTCTCCCGCGGTTGTTAGGGACTGTTAGCAGCCTACCTTAATCAATTCACGTAGTGTGGCGTCGCGAGTCGTGCTGTTTACGGACGACTGTGTGTGTGTGGTTTGTGTATGCCAGTCTCTCTGTGTTTATACCCTGTGGGGCCGCTAGTCGGGTAATATTTCATGCGTGAATCAAGGCAATCTGTAACGACTCCCTGCCTCCTTTGATTCAGCATAATTAACATCGTTTTGCCATTGCTAAGCCGCACGAGTTTGCCCGGAACCCCTAGGGGAAAAGTGGATTCATTCGCAGTAATTGACGGTAAAACATTTTGCTGCTGCTGCTACTGCTACTGCTACTGCTGTCGCGGTCTCTCATTAAATGCACACGCACGCGAGCGCTTCCCCGCGTGAACGGATTAACACGCCCGCGCGCGCGCACACACAAATGCAGCTCAAATTTACAAGCTGCGTTTCATTAGGAGAGATGTTCGGGGGATTACGGCGGGGTTTTCCCATTATGCGGGGAGGGACGTTTATAACATTCATCATGGTCAAACCTAGATTTCCGCACGGCGGTTTTCTAGAGCAGTGGTCGTGGCTCTAATCCATAAAGCAGCATCGTTCGCCGTGTCTCTAATATGAAGGATAGGGGGCGCTGCAGTCGGTGCGTGAACCCAGACGCGTCATACCGGCGTCTTCTCCTGTCGTATAAATTCCGATTGAATACTAAAAATGTCTCCTACTCTACCATTACCCTACCGAATCACGTTCGCCTACAAGATTATTGCTCGTATAACGAAATACTGCGGGCGAATCATACGCGTGGTGGGTCCGCCTGATATTCGGGTTTTGTGGGTTAATGAACCACTTTCTGCTTTCCGCGGGTGAAATGAAATGTGGGGAACGCAATTCTGGCGCGTGTTTAGCGATCTCTCGCGCGCGCTCTCACAAAAAAATGTGTAGTCGGCAGGTGTTGTTGAGCATTGGCGATATGATTGGTATTTGATTTCTTTAGAAACCGTCGTCACGCGACCGTATAGCCGCCAGGCGTCTTTTGTAAATTAAAACAGCATTGCAATTAGATCGCTTTCATCGCCACTGCAAAACCCGCGCGAATCGTGTGTGCGCGCATTTCGTGACTCATCAAATTAGCCGCGAATTAGAAATCGATTACAACGTAACGTTATTTTATGCGTAATTACTGTGTCGTAGCATGCAGCAGTAGCAGCAGCAGCAGCAGCAGCAGCAGTAGCAGCAGCAGCAGTGGCAGCGTGTGTTTGCATACGCGCGCGTACTTGTTTTCGTGCGCGTGCACGCAAAGCTTTGTTAAAATCTCGTCTAAATTTTATTACCTAGTAAAACCGACTCGACCCAGTGCGAAACATGCCGATGGGAACTAAACTAGTAGCAGGTTTAGGTGGTCACGCTTTCCGGACGTAAATGTAGTGAATTATTGATGTCGGCGCATATTTCAATTATGAAAATTTTCAATTATACAAAAAACCATCGAGCTAATATGAATTTTTTTAAATACTTTTTACTTGTAAGTTATTTAATTACACCGTTGCTGCTAATAGATAGTAAAACCTTACCGAATACAATTGTACATCACTTTTTCATGAATTCATATAAAAAAAACGTAGTGATCAAATATAGATTTTACACTCTTCCAGTAGCTGCTGTCATTGCAGCGTGGTTTGAGGTGCATGCTGGGTGTATGTGTGGGTGCAGGTGGCTAACTGACCGTCTTTTCATTTCAGAGTAAAAAAGATGTACCGGAGGTGGTAGTAAAGTGGTACTACAGACACAACGAGATTCCACAGTCAGTCTACCAGCTGCTTGTGCAGGACCGCATCACAGAGAGTTCTGCTGGTGAGTACTCCACGCACGCACGCACGCACGCACGCACGCACGCACACACATATACAGACACACACACACACACACACACACACACACACACACACACACACACACACACACACACACACACACACACACACACACACACACACACGAGACGACGTTTGTCTGGCATGATCACGAGTAGCTATAGGCAGATAACGAGCGTCTCTGCACTTGTTCTCGGGACTATCGGCTCAGCTGCTGCGTGCGGGTGGTCTGTGATTAGAGACAAGTCCGCTGTCCTCGTATAACACCCACGCTCTTGCCAGCAGTTAAAAACTGCAGCATCGCAGCAGCATCGCGGAGTGCGCATTGAAGCCGGCCGCCTACGAGGTGGGATTTCGATCATTCGCTGTCTCTATTCGATTCCCCAAACGCAGAATGATACGCGACTGAAGGTGGGGAAAAAATTACGCTGCTTTGAATGTGATTTTCGAATTACAGTCAGAATCAATTGGACGGGTCCCGCAAGTTGTTTGCATCACATCGTGCGTGTGGCTGATTGTGCGTGAGCGCGGTACCGCGCGACGCGGTTGTGCGAGCCTCAAACCTCAAAACTCGCATTTCTTTGAGCGAGCGCTGACATTCACAAACAGAGCCGCATTTGAATAATAAGCAGAAACGTCAATAATAAATTTTTTTGTTACGTAAACATCAATGCACGAGCACAAACCAGCGGTTGCCTGTCGTCGATTGTCAGTCGTCGATTGTTTGCCGTCGATTGTCAGTCGTCGATTGTCTGTCGTCGATTGTCCATCGTCGATTGTCAGTCGTCGATTGTCAGTCGTCGGTTGTCTGTCGTCGATTGTCAGTCGTCGATTGTCGGTTGTCGATTGTTTGTCGTCGATTGTCAGTCGTCGATTATCAGTCGCGAAAGCTCCGGGGTCAATATTAACGAATACAGTGGCACGCAATAATTAATTAACGGATTATTTTTTGAACGAACTGTTGCATGCTCACCGTTTTGCACGCAACCAAACCAAAATTAACGTGACGCAATCACGTGAGCGTGAGTGATGGCGTGTGTGTGTGTGTGTGTGTGTGTGTGTTGTGTGTGTGTGTGTGTGTGTGCTGTGTGTGTGTGTGTGTGTGTGTGTGTGTGTGTGTGTGTGTCGGCGCGTGTGATGTGGTGTGGTGTGTGCGTGTGTGTGTGTCTGTGTGTGCGGTGCGTGGTGTGTGTGCGTTGTGTGTTTGTGTGTGTGTGTGTGTGTGTGTGTGTGTGTTTGTGTGTGTGTGTGTGTTTGTGTAGTTTGTGTGTGTGGTGTGTGTGTGTGTGTGTGTTTGTTGTGTGTGTGTGTGTTGTGTGTGCTGTGTGTGTGCGTGTATGTATGCCATATATACGTACACGCCGCATGCGAATCGAGAGAATCGTCGTATATTCGTATATTATATATATGTGTGTGTGTGTGTGCTGTGTGTGTGTATGTGTGTGTGTGTGTGTCGTGGTGTGTGTGTGTGTGTGTGTGTGTGTGTGTGTATGTTATGTATGTATATGTATGTATATGTATGTAGTATGGTATGTATGTATGTAGTATGTATGTAATGTGATGTATGTATGTATTATGTTGTATGTATGTATGAGTGCGTTGCGGCGTGCGTGCGTGTGTGTGTGTGTGTGTGGCTGGTGTGTGGTGTGTGGTGTGTGTGTGTGTGTGGTGTGTGTGTGACTGTGTGTTGGACTGTTGTGGGTGTGTGTGTGTTGTGTGTGTGTGTGTGGTGTGTGTGTGTGTTGTGTGTGTGTGTGTGTGTTGTGTGGTGTGTGTGTGTCGTGTGTGTGTGTGTGTGTGTGTGTGTGTGTGGGTGTGTGGGGGGATCGTGTCTCTAGCAGTGTGTAAGCAACTCTCGAACTATAGCACCTTCGCTCTGCACAGGCTGCCCTGGGGTCTGTGGCACGAGGCCTGTGGCCAGAAGGCGAAGGGATTATGGTTCATAAGTTCTCGCGTAAGGAGAGGAACGAGCGCTCCATCGTTGCGACTACTTTGTGTGGCGCGGCGGCGCGAAGAGTTTGAATATACGTGAGCGTAATTAATGTTATAACGAACCGACGCATCAGCCGCTGGCGCACGAATACACGTCCCCCAGCGCACCGAAACAATCGCCAGCCAGCATCGCAAACTAATGTCGCCGCATCTTAAATGCCGACTCTGTGTCACCTGCCGGACTATATCAATTGCAAAATTAGTGCCAATATGTCATATACTAACGCCATGACCAAAATGAGGTATACGAGAAAATCAAGGGGTTCTTTCAGCGTGTATCCGGCCTGATTCGGTCATTTGAGTAACAATAGCAGCCACCGCATCAGGCCACTTAGCCTTCTAAAACTCGTCTTTCACCATACAGAAGCAGAGCTCGCACCAGCGTTACGTATGCCGTGTGAGACCCGCAAACGCGAACTGACTTAACGACATCAATTATGAATTCGCGCTGGGGGCAGCACATGGTTCCCGCCGCCATGCACCCTCGGAAAATACGATTGGTTCGTGAACGCAAATGTTATCGTATTATCGTCACATCGTTAACCCCGTCTAGCTTATGTGCAATTATGTATCTGCTCACATTAAAAATGCAACGATTGCACCAATCCATCAGCTCACACTTACAACCACTCCCATTCATCTCACTCATAGCGAGAAATGCGTACACTATTAATGCCGCAATACTAGTGTACTGTGAACGCAGTACGGAAGGGTTAATTTAAATTAAGACTAGTGAGAAGCGCAATTGCCATGCACTTTACTTCATACCCACATCGCTCGCTAAGCGCAGCGCTGCTTTATAAACAGCCTAATCGTCATAAATTTAAATAATTCAAATTTATTATGAAATAACCGCACAGTTAGTACGTCGTTTACGCATTTGATCGCGTAATAGAGATCGTATCACAACGCGTTGCGTAAACGTAGGAAGCTCTCACTTCTCCCTCCACTCGCTCTCTCTCTTCTCTCCTCTCTCTTCTCTCCTCTCCGGCGCTCTCTCTCTCTCTCTTTTTCTCTCATCTCTATCCTTCTTCTCTGCGTGGGTGTGTGTGTGTGTGTGTGTGTGGTGTGCTGTGTGTGTGTGCTGTGTTGTGTGTGTGTGCGTGTTGTGTGTGTGCTGTTTGTCTCTCTAGCTCTCTCTCCCTGTCTCTCTCTTCTCTCTCGTCGTTTTCTCTCTTTTCTCTCGCTTTCTCTCCCACCCTCCCTTTCTCGCTGTCTCTATATCTCTAGATCTCTTCTCTCCCCTCTCTCATCTTCTCACAACAGACCACACACACACACACGCACACACACACACACACACCACACACACACCACACACACACACACGTATCTGCTCACGCGCCTCTCTTTTTCTCTCTCCTCTCCCTTTCTTTCAATTTCCCTCGCTTTCTTTCTCTTTCTCTCTCTTTCGCTCTTTCTCTCACTCTGTCTTTTTCTTACTTACTCTCTCGCTTTCTCTATCGCTCTCTCTTTCTCACACACTCTGTCGCTTTCTTCTTCTTCTCACTTTCTCTCTCACCCCCTCTCTCTCTTTCTCTCATTATTCCACCTCCTCTCTTTCTCCTCCACTCCCTCTTTTCTTTCTCACACTTTTACTCTCTCCCTTTCTCTCTTTTCTCTCACTCTCTCTTTCTCTCTTACTCTTTCACTATCTCTCTCTCTCTCTCTCAGCCTCTCTCTCTCTCTCTCTCTCTCTTTCTCTCTCTCTCTCTCTTGCTCGCTCAATCTCTCTCTTTCTCTTCCACTGTGTATCGCCGGTCGCCCGGTCGCACAAGCGCCCATTCCTCAAAACGGACGACAGCACACCGGATGAAGTTTTCATTAGCATCGTGTAGGTGTTGCCGATAATCGCAGGCAACATCACGTGACCAGCGCGCGCCGACGTCGTCCATCACGGCGACGACGTCCCGCACGGCAGACGGAAGTGTTTATTCGCTAGCATATGGGCACCGCACGGCATGGCGTGGGGGCGGGGGGGGTGTTAAGATAATGTATGAGACCTTGTGAGGTGCGGTGCGGTGGCAGGGTTCAGGCGGAGATGCCACCTGGTCTCGAAGGCCATTCACCTATTAACCGGGACCAGAGGGGGTCAGCCTACTGGAAATGGGAACCAATTTTCATGCATATAGGCAGATGATTCGTGTACATACCCATGTAAAAATTAATCTGGCGGGCAGCGCTTGTGGTTGTGGTCAGTGGGGTCATTGAAAGGCACCCCAAAATTTGAGCTAGATTTTTAGCTGGAGAGGAACCCATGAACCTATTGGAAAATGTTCGCGATGGTTCCAAGGTTCAGGAATGCGACACTGCCAGAAATTTTTTAGTTGGTGGGGCGCTATGCGGCCAGGAGCTAAAAAACCGATAACCCCAAAATTGAGCTAGATCAGCCCTGGAAAGGTAAAACTTGCTGGCCACCATTAAGAATAATGTTCATCATAGTCCAGTTAATCTGTGAATTGGCACTGCCAAAATTATTCAGTGTGGGTATCGCGCAGACCCCCCAACTGCCCCCACCCGCCAAAATTGAGCTAGAAATAGCTGAGAGGAACCCGTCGTGCCGAACCTATTGCGAAAATGTCGGCAATGGTTCCGAGTATCAGAGAATGGACACTGCCAGAATTTTTAGTGGTGGGGCCATCCGCAAGACGAAAAAAGCGTTACCCCCCCCGACAAATCGAGCCTAGAATTACTGGACAAGGAAACCTTCCGGCCACCACTGGGACAATGTTCGGCTAGTCTAAGGGCAGGTCGTGAATGGCCACTGCCAGAATAATCAGTGCGTTAGGGTGTGCCCACCAGACGCCCTAACTTGCCCCACCGGGCTTCATTATTTAGATAGATTAGCTCAGTCTAGGTATCTGGTACTAGTCATTATATCTACTCTGCATCTAGCTGGAGAAGAAAACCACTGATCCACGTCAGCTTGCTTCTCTACCCTTTCTTTTTTATGTTGTTAATTTGCAGAATAGAAATCTTTCAACAAATCTCGAATGTACAACACATTGATTTGATGAAACACATTATCCTTATTATAAAGCATTTCTTTCTCACACTTTTCATTTCTTATATACAGCTGTATATGATAGAGTGGTTATA